ATTCATGACTTTGAGTATGTCTTCTCAATATCCTGCACAAGCTTTTACACTGAAGAAGAAAACAAAAGGGAGAAGTTCTTGATAAAAAGGCACACTTATTAAAATGTGTGCACATCTTTCTTCTTTCCTGCAAAACTGGCATGAGATGGAGGAATTATGTGAATGCAACTCCTGTAGCCCTATTGATCTGTGTAGGAATTGCTGCTACACACCGCTGACAAAACATGCAAGTATGCAGTGAGTACTGGATTTACATTCCTCCTAATCTAACATTCCAAAGACTTAGACTCAGGATGTGGTGAGTAAGTGAGGGTCTATGTGATAAGCTTGGAAAGAACAAATATTAGGACTTCTTGCCAGGAGTAACCACCTGAGATGGATGGAACACGTGGATGACAGGGATACCCTGTGCAGAAGATGAAGACTGCAGAGCCACCCAGGTCTGGTTCTGACTCCCAGCTTTATTGCCTGGGAGGATTATATTAATCATGTAGCTACTTTTAGGCAGAGGAAGAATTCCACCTACGTACAACTGACAATGATATGTGATGGTGCAGAACAAGCCCTATACTCTCCAACTGCAAAGTTCTGAACTGGATTTATTAATCACTTCATTAATGACTGCGTACCTTTGGCCAGAACAGGTCAGTAGAGCAACAGCCAAATACAGCTGTACTGTAATTGGTAATTGCATTGGTTCTTTTCACCTTCTCCCTCTTTGTTCTCTTCTCCAAGAATCTCCTCAATATGGAGTTTCCAAAACAAACAGTTTCAAACCTGGGGAGCAGCTAGCCTGACAGTGCCACTTTGGTCTGATGCATCTGATGTTTGCAGAGAGCCTTATAGAAGACTTGGGAAGGTCATTACTGGAAAGAATTATTTCAAACCCAGGAAAGAGCTGACTTTCTACATGAAAAGCACCTTTACATCTTGCATCCTTTCACATTTTTTTTCACAGTAACAGACATTAACACAAAGGGTTTTGAGGAGGCATGCAAATTACATAGGAGGTAAAATGTGCTTTAGGTCTCCTTGCCGACAAAAACTTCTCAGCAGGATTACTGGATTTGAATCCTACTCATACAGATAAATATAATCTTATCAAGCTCAGCTCAGTGTGCGTGAGAAATGAGAGGTTCTCAACACGGAAGTTGGAGGCTAAAAAGATAACAGCACTCAGAAAGAAAATGGAAGCCACAGAGATGTGTGGAGAGAAGGAGCTTTCCCAAGATAGCAGAGGAGCTGATACAGCAGATGTTTAAAGAGGACTTGTCAGACAAGAGCATACTGAAAACTGCAAAAAAAAAAAAAAAAAAAAAAAAAAGCAGACCAGGATTAAGAATATTTAAACACTGGGGATGCAAAAGAATAAAAATACATATTCTGCTGCTACTTGACAAAGTGCCTGAATTGAATTTAAAAAAAAAAAATGCTATAACATCATGTCCTAAATAACTAAATATAACACAGAAGAGCAGGACTGACATATTTCACAGAGACAAGCTTAGATCAAAAGGAAGGAAGAACATATGCAATGGCATTATGGAGTGCCAATGCCTGTGACAGAATGAGCAGTTCTAGAAGCTTACAAAAGGAAAAAGTGATCCAACAGTGGAAAAAAAGAAAAACGGACTGTCATATTGTGAATAAGTGGGGAAATTTATTTAGTAATCTAAATAATTTTAAAATTTCAAAGTATTTATTCAGAAATGCCCAAGCATTACCAAACAGTGTGATGAAAATGATACTATTAATGTTGTCTTCCATCACAGTCTTCCGGGAAACATATAAAAACTCTTTCAAATTTTTAATTCCAATGCTGATGATGCCACGATGCTTTTAAGTTCTCCAAAAGAGCACAAAGGGAAACGCGGTGAGTGGGGCGAGAAGTGCTGAGAGGCAGCAGAACTGAGCTCTACGAGCGATGCCGAGGCTCTCCCCTAGAGGGCAACGGAGGCTGTCTGAGAGTCCTCGTAACCCGGAGGCTAAAAACGTTTTAGGTGAACATCAAGTTACAAGTCTTTTGCTATTCTGCCCCCGTCCAACCCCAGCTGCTTTTTAGTTATAGCCAAGCTTTTTCGGACTTATAATCAGTTATATTCAACCTTCGCTGTAAAAACCTTTTCAAGCTGAGAAAAACGCATCTATTCTCTTTGAAAGTGTTGGGAAGGTGGAATTTCTGGAAGAGCAAGGAATAAATAGCTTCCCTGAAAACAGCAAACCACTCTTTCCTTCATATCAATGGTTCTTAATACAAGATTTTAGTTCATTTATCGGTGGGATTTTTTTCCTTCTAATTTTGAAGACGTCCACCCCTGTGGATGTGTCAGGAAGCTGTCGTGTGTTCCTGAGAAAGTGAAAAGAAGTCAGGGTGCCACAAGCTCCCTTGTTAAGACTGCAAAAATCTCGCTTTACTTCAAACTCTGCTGCTGCTTTTAGACTTCCTCTGTTTTACTTTAGCAGTGAAGCCCCATGCGGGACATGTTACCACCAGATGATATGATGACCCTTAAAAGGATTACAATGAATTATCCTCTGGTGACTCTGTATGTTATCAGAGAATAATGCAAATTTCCTTAGCTTCTTTTCTTTACAAAACCTGTTTGTGTTCCTGTGCCATCTACCATTCCTAATCATAGCCCAACCACAAAACGAAGCACTCTGCCCTCCTACTGTTCCCCTTACACTGTAAAGTACTTTATCTTGTTTTCTGAGCAACAGCAGAAGATACACAAACCTAGGAAGGAGCTATGTGGTGGCAGCATTGTCCTAAGCTTCCACCCTCAGGTGGGGGCTGCTTCTGCCCCCAGATTTTATTCTATGAAACTGAGCCCTGGCTGGCAAATCTCCTACCCTGCCAACTGTGTTATCCCCTTGGGCACCCAACTCACATTTTCTTGGGGAGCAACCTGCTTGTACTGTTCTCCGACTATTTCAAGCACTAGGTCCACCCTTAAATTCTCTGTATCCTTGCAATTTCAAAGGAAAACATGCCCTAATCAAAGCCTGGTATCAAAGATGGAACAGAGCTTGTCCAATTTTACACAGCAGTTTCCATCTCTTCTTTCCTCTGCCTCCAGCTAAGAGGGTTGGTAGCTGTGGCCTTCCTACAGGAAAATTGGTCCTTTTTTTTCCTACTGCCATTCATGCTTGCCAGGGACATGCAGTGTGGGCAAATGCTTTCATCACTCAACATATCAGTGGTGCCAGTCATGTATTTCTTCCACTTGAAGCCCTAATGATTGAGATACAAACTCCTATTATCTATCAGCATTCTAGGTCCTCAAACATGAATATACAATAGTGCACAGTCATTATCCCCTTGCTATAAGAGGCCAATTACCACAATTTCTGTGATGTAACCTAGGTTTGCACAACCTAATGAAACCTATGTCAGCATTTATTCAGTTCAGTTGACATCATGTGATCAGATAACTGGGCTTCTCCATAAAAGATTGCTGTTTTGGCATGCTGGCAGCCTCCCCTCCTATTGCAGACTGAAATACAAGAACTGTAATGCTAAGAAAGCACTCTAGGAGATGAGTAAGAGGAGTTTACTGGTGACCTCCAGGAGAGGCAAAGAGTGTGGCATGGATTCAGCTGGTATGCCCTCTACACAGACAGTTCCTAGCTGCCCGAGTGCCTGGTGTCGTGTTCCTCACACATCCGACACTGTGACCTGCCCATGGTTGTCCTGTGGGACTTCAGGCGCTCTGTTTCCTTTCTGCAGCTCTCATAACATGACAGGGCAAAGATGATGATTCTGAAAGCAGCGTTATAAGAACTGCCCTCTGCCACAAGGCCAGAGGTGATTGAGTCACAAATTGCACACAACCACAGAGTCAGCCTGTTAGCTAGGCCACAGCCTTGTGAGTTAAAGCTGAACGGAGAGAGCCTGTGTGTACCTCTCATCAGTGAGAATTATCCCATCCCGGTGCCTCCTTCAGCAAAAAGTGGTGTTGAATCATAGAAAGCTTTGTGCAGAAAAACTCCAACTTATTTCTGAGAATGAAAACAATTGCTTGCTGCGTTCTTCAGCATTCTGTACCTAACAGCGGAGGGGAAAAGCAGTGTTCTGCAGCTGGAGATGCATTTCTACAGACCTACGTGAAAGAAAAAGAAATGCTGCTGGAAGAATACTCAGCCTTTAATTAACTCTGCCTATTTGAGGAACAGAACAAAAAGACTGTGAGTGGAACATTGGCCGGAGATAATGGACTCCCAGTGACACTGACATAATGAGATAACACTGAAAAGCAGATGGAGCTGAAGTTGTACTTTCAGGGTTGGAAGCATTCATCCTCTGGCAATTGCTGTGCCACTAGTTAGCTGGGCAGCACTGGAGGCACCAAATGTCTTCTGTCTGTACTGACAGCAATTCCTCTTGACATAAGTGGAAAGAGGATGCTCAGCATTTCCAAAGTTACTCAGCAGTTCGCAGCTGCTCCCAGTTATAGCAACTGGCAGGCGATGAAAACCCAAGGTACAAATTTGTTTTATTTTAAATATGGCAACATGTGCTATGGGTTTATATTACCAACACATACACAGCTAAAACTGCTATGAGAGCACGCTGAACTCAGTTCCATACAAACATGAAGAGCTCCTTCACTGTGGGGGTGACGGAGCAGAGGAGCAGGCTACCCAAAGAGGCTGTGGAGTTTCCTTCTGTGGAGATACTAAGGCCTCGCCTAGACGCCTATCCGTGCGACTGCGGGGAGCGCACTTCAGAAGGGTAGGACTCGATGATCTCCCGCTCCCCGCTACCAGCCATTCCACCCGTGTCCCCATGCCGCGGGCAGCTCCCAACGCCTACCGTCGCCCCCCCACCCCAGCCACCAACGGCACTCGCATGACAGGCCGGCCCGCGCCTGCGCTCGGGCCATGGCGGCGGCGGCGGCGGATGAGCGGATCAACCGGCGACCGGGCGCGTGCGCGCGGCGGGCGGGGCTGCAGCGGAGCGAGAGGGGCGGGGCGGCGCGGGGGCGGTGAGGGGTCCCGGTGCCGCTCCCGCTCCGGCCGCACTGGTTGGGCCGAGCCGCGTCTCCCGCCCGGACTCGGCCGTGGGGACAGGTGAGCCGGCGCCCTGCCGGGGTCGTAGGGCTGGAGGGGTCGTCTGCGTGGCCCCGCGGTGCCGCCCGCTCGGCCGGGGGTGGCGGCTGCCGTGCTGCGGGACGGGCCGGCCGTTGGGCGGTGCGGGGGTCCCGCGGGGGTCGGCCGCGCCGGGAGTGCCGCCTGCTGGGCGGGCGGAACCGCAGCCCCGCGGTGTGCGGTCTGCGGTCTGCGTGGGGCTCTGCGCCCGGCGGGCCGCTGGCAGCTCGGCGGTGACCGACACCCGGCGACAACCAACTCCTGACGCGGGCTGTGCCGCTCGCGGAGCGCGGTGCGAGCGAAGCGAGCTCTCGGGGCGGAGGGCGGGAGGCCTCTGCTCGCATCTGGAAGTTTTCCTAACTTCAGTCATTTAAACTGAAGTATAGAAAATATAGATCTGTTTGGTCGCCGTTACGCAGTTGAGTCGCTGCTGGTGCTTGTTCGATATTAACCTAACGTTCAGAATTTTGGGGAGACAGCCGTGGGTACTGAATTGAAGCTCTCAGCCAACGTCAGTGTAAGAGAACTGGGCACAGTGCAGCTCCCATCACGTCTGCCCTACGGTGAGTCCGGCGCTGCTGCAGCGCTGCTCTGAGTGCAGGAGGAGAATGGCTCGGTGCGGCTGACACCTGGTACCTTCCAAAGGCACTGAAGCAATTCTGCGTGCTGCTCCATTTCAGAGTTCCCTGACAGCTACTGAGGGTGTTTGCTTCTTTGGTCTCATAGTAGTTTCGCGTCGCTACTCCTGAGCTTTGAAGCAGTTGGTTTCCTGAGCAAACAGCTTTCTAGAGCTCCTTTCTGAGCTCTGACTTAATGCAGTCTGTTTCAAAACTGAAGCACTAATCTGCTCACTTGTGGGTGCTGGCTTAATTTTTGTCTTGTTGGGGAGTTGCTTAGGTGCTGTAAGTAGAGTGAGTTGCTGAGACAGATATAACTTAGAATGCAACAAACAATGTATGTTTTTCTTTTCCTTGGTCAAATGTGGGTAAAGGAAAGGGCTCTGTTTAAACATGCTTTCATGTCGAATTACTGTAAAATGAACTTCTCAGAAAATAACCGTGCAGCTCTCGTGTCCACACACAGCATTGAACTTCTGGGGATACTTCATGTTCTGTGCTTGAATTGTCATCATTGTTTGTTTAAACTTGTTAACTTTTACTATGGAAGGAAGAATTTCCCGAGGCTGTAGGAAAGACTGTTGGGCTTGTGTGCTTCTTACTGGGAATTGAACCAGGGTGAAAGGCAGGCTGATTTACTAATGGTTTTTCTTTAGATCTTACCGTATTGCTTCAGGGTTTTACACCTGGGGGAGCTGAAGTGCTGGAATTAGTGGAAAATGGAAGTTTAGGATTGCTGTGCTTTGGGGGCGATAAATATTCTGTTGTTGGTCAAGAAGGGCCAGGGAATTACATGTACTGCATTCTACTTTTTTTTGTCTGTTGTCATGCTTTCAAGGAAATGCTCGTGCAGCCACCCAGTACAAGAACCTATGCATGCTTGTGCCCTATGGAGTTGTGCTCTAGCTGCCTCTCCCTCTGGTAGATCTTTGTGTGGAGCGCTTTGCCAGCATTTAATCAACCGTGCTGCTGATTTGGCTCTCCTCTGTTCCCTGGTGGCTGTTCCACCACCTGCCTCCCTATTGCATTTCACACAACTGTTCTCTGACACCTCTTGGGTAATTTTTTGAGGGGGTTTCTCCCTTATCCCCCATGTGCTATGAAATCTCTGTCATGTTAGGCTATCCTCCAAGCAATTTCTCATGTTTGTCTCTTGGGCTTTTGTTTTGGAACAGAAAATAAATTTGATACAGAAAACACATGACATCATATAGTTAACTATTCCAAATGAGCCAACTGGCTTTTCTTTTTGAGCCTATATCAAGCCCTGAGGTGCTCAGATTTCTGATTAAAAGCAGAACAACTTCTAATGCACAGCGGACAAGATATTAATAAAAGAGAACAGAAGTCCATCAGTGAAGAAACAGAGCTGTTTTCTAGGAATCAAAGTAGTTAAGACTAGGTGGCAAATTACCTAAAAGTGGGGATTTTTCTAAAGTAGCATTCAATGTAATGAAGGCAGTACAGAGGGTATGATTGTGTTCCCAAAATGGTACTATGTAAATCTTGGTCAGACCTTGCTTCCATGGCAGGTGTGCTTCTAAGGAGATGGGAAGCAGCTGAAAGCTTTCTGAGATGGGTCCTTACGCAGCCCCTGCTGTTGCGTGAAAGCAAGCAGTGCAGCTCTTTACCTACGGGGATTCAGTGAATTGGTGAGGAAGTAAGAAGTCCTGCTGCTAAATGTCAAATGGTGCTGTACTGAGTGACACATTGTTTCCCTCCACCCCCCTTTCTTAATCTGTGCTCATACTGATATTGAATGAGACTGCCTTTCTAGTTAACTTCTATTACAAGGCATGTAGCAATAGTAGTAGTAATAGTTAACAACACATAATTGGTAATTATATGTTTCAGCAGTCTGTCTTTGAGAGATGCACAGTCTTAGGGGTCAGAAAGATTTTTCCTGAAGGCTTTGTTTCCTTTTAGAGGGCTGCTTCTGGATTTTGCTTGAGTGATTTATTTTGCTGTTATGCTGTGGATAAAGTTGATAACCTCTCTGTTTACTGCCAGTAGTTTGCTTCCTTCCCTCTGCTGCTACAGCTCTTCCACTAATGCAGAGTGAAGGGCTTACAGCTGGAGCCACTTGAATGGCCTCTCGCTTTCCTTTAAAAGGTATGAACAGATATTGAGGCTAGTGTGGCTTTTACAAGTTTTTCAGATGTCAGAAGGTCTAATTGTAACCAGAGAGTATATTTAAAAAAAAAAAAAAAAAAAGTTTTTTCCTCTGAAAAAAATAGTATTCACTTTCACGATCTTTGGAATTAAATGGAACATACGTTGTTACTTTGTGCACTTGCTTTGAGCCCAAACTTAAACAATCTGCATCATTTTGGAAATGTTTTTTATAAATCAATTTCTGATCAAGGAAATGGTTTCTCTACCTAAAAGGATGATCAATTTAAACTCAGTAGAAGCTGCTGCTTGTGGCTTTATCTGAAGAAAACACTTGGCCAATAGCAAGTTGCATACTTTTCCAGTAGTTTGTCTCAGTTAATTCACTTTTTTGTCATTTTGTACTGTAGACTTGAAGGAGCTTGGTGTTTCAAGGACTGACCTTCACCTCTAAGAGGAAGGTATATATGCAGCACTGAGCATTATAAACTGAGGGATGTTTAGGAAACAGTTCTTGTAATAAGGTGCTGTTTAACAGCAGATATGTTAGTATGAAGTGTTCTGTACAGAGTAGCTGGTTCTGGATTGTGCACAGTTTGAATTCTGTACAGTATTTTGGTATGTTTGTTATAAAACAATGTTTTATTCCATCTGGACTCTGCAACAGGAAAATCTGTTGCAGATGTAACGTATATGGTAGCATAAAAAAACCTCTTGAGAGGAACTAGAAGTGTTTGACAGATGGTAAGAGGCATTTGAAAAGTGAGATTTTCATTTTGAGGAAGTAACGTGGACTTCTGATACAAGATGAAGAAATAAGCCTCATTTTCTTCACGCTGTTAGCAGTAGATGCGAGTTTGAGCCTAGTTTGCCTTTTCCCTCAAAGTGCAGTGTTGATAGTCCAGTGAAACCGTCACTTCTGTCTCTTTGCAAGCTCCTGAGTTTGCAGTGACTTTGACACAGAACTGAAGTGTGCGTATCTGACCTTCCTCCCTTTTTTTTTTTTTTTAATTCAACCATTTCCCTGCACCGTATCTCATTTCATGTTCTCGTAGCATCTAGGCTTGAATAAATTCGTGCACTATCTGTACGTTCATGTATTTTCCATTGCTGTAATCCTGTCAGCCAGCGTTTGTATTGAAGTAATGCAGAAGGTGTTGATATGGCTGTTCAGTTGAGGCAAGGGAAAGCAGCTTGTTTCTTTTTGTTATCTTTAGCTTGCCTGCAAGCAGAAGCTGTGGTATTCTGAAGACCAGCTGATTGTTTTTTTTTTTTTTAAAGGCTTGGACTTCACAGGGCGGCATGTTTCTCCTAATTTAAACACATAATTTATTTTTTTTTAGTAAAAGTATTGTTACACAACTTAAGGAAGTGTGTTTGTTGAAGGAACTGTGCATCAGAAGATAAGTTGGTTTTGGTGCTCGTTGGTTTGAAGCTGATAGCAAGCTGGTGCCCAGTATACTGAAGAGGATACTTGATTGGGGTTGGTCTTTATCTTTCCTTAGGAATAGCTGCAGTAAGCTCTGTATTCCCCTCTTCCCCCCCGCAAAGGTAACAGTACTCATAGATGATTTACTTGACTCCTCAAATGACAAATGGCAGAACCGTCATTCCAACGCTGGGATTTTCCAAAGTACAGGAGGCTTTTTTATGAATACCTGTGGAGTGCCTCATCTCAGCAGCTGGCTTATTTTCCTCAGAAAAATGTTCTTTACATATGTGTTTATAGATGATTTGGAGAGTTAAGGCAAACAGCGTGTTACTTAAAATAGGTATATTAAGTAACAAGGGCGTCATTCTTAATATGAGATTTGGGCAGTGAATGCTGGTTCAGTTGCTGTCTAATTTGTGAATTACTGACGGTTCTTGGCAGCATCCTGTAGGAGAAATGTGATTCATTTTAAGAGACATGGACACTTTTTGACAGGTACACACCAGGTTCCTTTGCGTGAGATTTTCTGTTGAATTTTTTTTTCTAATTACTGTTTCAACATGTAGTAATAAGGATAGTTCTGCAGGCCAAGTGAGCACTCTCCTAGGCAAAGCACAGGCAGCGTTTGTTCAGGCAGTGCTCTGAGGATTCTGTCTTGCTTTTTTTTGGTTAACATGCTCAGATTGTACATTCTTGCAGTCTTTGCAAGTTTACAGAAGTATGTGATGATGCCATAAATGTGTGATTAGATACTGGTCAAGTGGTGCTGAATTAAGAAACATACATTTACTTGAGAGCTTAGCTTCCCTCTTCCAGCTGTG